CTGTGTGTGTGTATGTGCCTGTGTGTGTGTATGTGTGTGTGTGTGCACAGCCTCTCTCTTAAAGCATCTGAAACACGCGAACATTGTCCTCCTGCATGACATCATCCACACCAGGGAGACGCTCACCTTCGTCTTTGAATATGTGGTGAGAAAGGCCCTCTCTCTTATGCAGCAGTTCCCAGTCTGACCTGAGGGGGCGCTGCAGATACAATCTCAAACAGGCCTTATTGATTTGAGCTAAATGTTTTAAGCTGGCAGCAGATGTTTGTGATGTTTCGGGATCTCCAGCAGCTCTGATTCGCTGACTCGTATTTGTCTGGTGTTAGTGTAGTAGCTGCTCTCTTCCTGCAGGGGGCAGTGCAGCCCACAGTGGTAGATTGAAGCGTTCTGATGCTTGTGTTGCTGCTGCAGCAGACAGATCTGGCCCAGTATATGACGCAGCACCCAGGAGGACTTCATTCGCACAACGTGCGGGTATGTGCACACACAGCAGGGGGCGCTGCAGGAACAGCATGTTCCACTGATGCTGTTCTTCCATGCAGATCTTCATGTTCCAGCTGCTGCGCGCCCTCAGCTACATCCACGGTCGCAGGATCCTGCACCGAGACCTGAAGCCCCACAATCTGCTCATCAGCTACCTGGGAGAGCTCAAGCTGGCCGACTTCGGTGAGGAGCGCCCCCTACAGACTGACAGCTTTACACTCTAAGAAATTTAAAATCTGATGTTACTTGTTTTATCCCTTTTATGTGCAAATTACTTTGTAAAACATCATCCTGTTACTTTAACTCTAATGGATATTTCTGCAAATTAACGTGGTCCCTAGTTACTTTCCGTTTTCACACCAACTGCGTACATTTTGGGTAGCAGCACCCATGCTGCTTTTGGTGTCAAAGAACAGTTTCATAGTTTTTTTTTTTTTTTTTTTTTTTTTTTACACCAAACCAGGATGAAGTGCTGCTAGCACGAACTGTAAAAATTAGAGTAAAAATGGAGTTTGAGCTGAAAAATACCAAAAATAAATAAAATAATAAAACAAAATCTTTGCTTAATCCGTGGATTCTAGTGACATTTAATGCTCTGCAGTTCTTTTCTAAGCTGCAGTGAAAAGAGTCACGTAGAAGTAAACTAGGTTTACAGAAAGCAACTAGGGACAATAGTCATTTGCATAAATAGCTACAAGATTTAAAGATTTAATCAGACAGGATTGTTTGATTAACTTGCTTAGCCTGAGTTGTTTTAACACGTTGTTATGTAAAAACAATGAAACGCGCTCATGGTCAGCATAAAAACTGAATTTAAAATATTAATCTGAACATAAAACAAGCATCATCAGAGTTGGTGTGAAGTTTTGGATAAAAATGCTTGATCTCATAATCCAGAGGTTCCCAAACTGTGGGGCGCGCCCCCTAGTGGGGGCGCCGTGTCATTGCAGGGGGGGCGCGGGAAGCCGTCTGGATGAAAAACAAAACATGAACACAGTATGCGCTGGGATTTTACCTTAGAATGGCCAACTCTCTGTTGGCTGTCAATTTGATACAATAGAGGCTTCCACACGTCCCATATCTGTGTCCTCTGTCACTTTTATCAGCAGTTAAAACTCTTTAGAAAAAGTTTGGGAACCACTGTCATACTCTATTTAAATGAAGTCAATAGAAAAAGTGAAGCATGTGAAAGCTACTGATGAATGTAAAGGGTTAATGTTACTCAGACCTGCAAACTGAAGGGAGAGGTTTGAAAATGTGACAGTGAGGTTTGGCCAGCAATGTTTCCCACAATGCATTGGGCCACCAGCAGCAGCAACTAATTAAACCACTTTTTATTTGTCTCAATAATTGGTTTTTAAGACGTTTAAGTCTAAAACATAAACACCAAATATTCATGTATGCAGAAATCATGAATGAGGCACTTATTGAATAGTTTAAGTTTAATATTTAAATTCACACCTTGAGCGACATGGGTGATTATTTTCATGACACTGCTCTGCAAATAATTGTGTTTGTTTTACTTAAGGAAAGTGAAGAATCTGTCTCTGCTTGACCGGGTTTGACCTTACTGTTCTTAAATTTCACTTTATAAAATATGTTGTAGTGAGTTAGATTTGTGTAATTAATCCAATGAAACAGAAATATTTTTAATGTTTCCATTAATGAACTCAGTTATGTTAACTGGTTCCACTAAACCCTCATTATAACTTAATGTTGAACAAACTGACATCTGTAAATTTAACTTCAGCATTAAGTTAAACAGACTGACGTCTAAACTGTTGAATTTACTGAATTGAGTTTGTTTGTCTAATGATTTCGTTGAAAATAAATGTGAAACCTTCTTTACATTTAATGAGCCACGTTTAGTGGAACCCATTGACATAACTTGGTTAAGTAAATTCAACCTTTCATTTCTTACAGTGTACCACAGAATATTTAGTTTTTTCACTTTTAGAAAAAGAACAGGCGTCTGCTGTGCTTTTAACCGTGAGGGACTCCATGGTGCAGGGCTGGCCCGGTCCAAGTCCATTCCCGCCCAGAACTTCTCCTCCGAGGTGGTGACGCTGTGGTATCGGCCCCCCGACGTTCTGATGGGATCCATCCATTATTCTACGGCCCTGGACATGTGGTTAGCGCCGCCGCCGCTGCCGCCGCTGTCGCCGCCGCCGCCATGATCAGTAAAGTTTGGTTTATTTTAATCAGGGGGGCGGGTTGCATCTTCATAGAGATGCTGCAGGGAGCGCCAGCGTTCGCAGGAGGTTCTGATGAGCTGGAGCAGCTGCAGAACATCTGGACGGTGAGTTCACCAAGTTCTGATGGGGTCTGGATCCAGTTCTGATCGGGTCTACCTGCAGGTTCTGGGCGTCCCATCAGAGGACAGCTGGCCTGGGGTCAGTCTGCTGCCTAACTACAGACCAGGTGAGCTCACCTGTCGATGTCCACATGCTGAAGGCACGTAGCACATTAACTTACATTTCTGTTTTCACCTTAGAGCGGTTCATTCACTGCAGGCCGAAGCTTTTTAGAGATGTTTGGAAAAGGTAAGCTAAGCTAAACAAGGTAATTTTATTTAGACAGCAGATTTTCAGCAATAAGTCAATTCAAAGTGCTTTACGTGAATTAGAAGGAAATTTAAGCAAAAATAACAAACCAAAGGAAAGAGCAAAAGAAGAAAAAGTATAAAACTACATATTGTTTCCCCATATTTAAGAATAAGTAGACCGTAATTTATAAACTAGTGGGGTTTTTCTCTGGATTCTTGTTCTGATAATGTTGAGCTAGCAAGCAAGGTGAGTTCCTCTAGATTCTAAGTTTATTCAAATTCCTTTTCTGGGTTGCAAGTACTGTAAGTACGCCATCATTTATAATTTATAAGTTAGAAGAAGTTTTTCTGGGAAAACTAATGGAGGTTTCTCTGAATAATAAACTAACAAGTGTAATATTGGTCTAAATCAGTACTTCTCAAATAGTGGGGCGCCGCGAAGTGTCAGAGGGGTGCGAGGAGCAGGACTTTATAAACTCTTTATTCATGTTAACAAGCTTCCAGTCACTAGGTGGCAGCAGTTTTCAAACTAATCAACAGACTGCCTGAGCAGAAGAGGAAAAAACGAGAAAGACTTTGGTGCAGCAAACAGAAAGGGGCGGAACGGACCACTGTCAGTCTTAGACCTTAATTGGAAATGGGGCCATTGCACTTCGGAAGTGAAGGGGGCGCTATTTCCTATACTTCCGTTTTTATTTTCTTTTGAAATCTGTGACATATCTTCATTTTTAAGAAGGATTTTCACTCAGAATGTTTTTGAACTTCTCTCTCTCATTTACTTCAGCAAAGCTCACAGTTTTTAACAAATTCTGTAGTTTTCGGCGTACTTCTAAATCTGCTTCTTTTTTGCATCTTTTCCGGGTCTACTACTGCCTCTAGTGGCGTGGGGGTGGTAGCACAACTAACCTAACTACATTACTAAATCAGAATACCACAACGTCTTTATTATTTATTATTGATTCTGGCATTACTGGAACAGTAAAAGATAAATTCCCTCACAAAAGAACATACCTTTTCATTTTCTTAAGGAAGTAGAGCTAATTAAATGAGATGAGCAAGAACTGAAAGTGATTCCAGTTTTACTCGATGGCCAACCTGTTAAGACTGTGGCAAATTTTAAATTCCTTGTGTCATTCCTGGACAGTCAGCTCAACTTTGCTGAAAACACTGACTGTATCTTTAAGAACTGTTCTCAGAGACTCTTATCTTTTAATAAGATCTTGGGGTTACCCAACTTGAGGTTTTAACTCAACTCAAGGTAAAAAAACATTTTAACTAAAATTTTAACTTTCAGGTAAATGATGGTGAAACCAAAAACATC